TAATTTTGAAACTGAAGTTTGATTTTGGGAAGGCTGTTAAATATGTTCGAGGTTTAAAGCACTTGATGTTATGAAACACAATTCCAGATTACCGTAAGTTATTTATTTTGCCAAAATGATGACTCAGAAGTTTTAAAGAAGCAAAAACCTTTATAACCCTTTACAAATTTTGCCAAAGAGCAGATTAGTGCCTTAAGAATACCTTGTTGTGCTTTTATTTCAATGCTCAATTTACAGAAAAATCATATAATACCCTTTTGAAATTTAGTCAATATGTTCACATACAGAACCCCTTTGCAAGATAAATTTCCACAATGCTTCCACCACTTGTTTGAACCTGCTACTTCATCCTATCCAATTTAAAACAATCCTTTAACCCTAGGCAAAAATTTATATTTCCATGCCTTCTTATAACCTTTTACAAAAAAACACATTTGGCTGGGCATGGTGGCTCACTCCTGTAATCCCAAGCACTTTGGGAGGCTGAGGCGGGTGGATCACAAGGTCAGGGTTAGGGACCAGCCTGGCCAACATGGTGAAACCCCATCTCTACTAAAAATACAAAAATTAGCCGGACATGGTGGCGCATGCCTGTAATCCCAGCTACTTGGGAGGCTGAGGCAGGAAAACAGCTTGAACTCAGGAGGCAGAGGATTCAGTGAGCCGAGATCATGCCACTGCACTCTAGCCTGGGCGACAGAGCAAGACTCTGTCTTAAAAAAAAAAAAAAAAAAAAAAAAAAAAAAAAATTTTTTTTTACTGTTCTTAACACACCTCGCATATAAATCTATTTCCAGTAGTCTCAATTACATGTTAAAACAGTAACTCCTAGCAGTTTTTAATTTAAATGTAAAACTTGGTAAGTTGTTTTGTGTGCTAGACGCAGCCAAGGTTTGACTCCTAGCATAATTAAGGGCATGGTTAGTTCCATATGTTCCCAGGCCTTAATAATTATGAAGCCAGCAAGTCAAATAGTTCTCAAAACCCAAAAAGCAGTTTATAACCTTAAACACTTAGCACATCTTGCATCTGACCTGCATAATTTAGTCCGCCTATTTACATTTTGATGGCATCTGCTTTTTAACAATAATCTTTAAAGCTGTTTTTATTTCTCAAAGACTAAAGTCACATAAACTGAAGGTACCACAGCTTTTATTTTCTCTTTAAAAAAAAATAAGCGCTTGTCTTTCTTTAGGCCAGATTAATTAGAGCTCTTTTTACAGACATCATACACAACATATATATATATAGTTACACAGACAGGCAGAAGAAACCCCAGTCACTGGGTGGGATCCTTTAAGAGACAGGGCTAGGAAAACATGCAGCTATCAAACCAGGAAGGAACTCATTCCCTAAGGCAGGATTGCTAAACAAAGCCTTACCAGGGAGTTACAGGCCATGCCCCCAGATTGTAAAACAAGATGGAGGCCTGCAGTGAAGTTCCCTACAAACCACACAGACATGCAAAGCACACCAGTGTGCAGGCCAGTTGGAGTTTCTCTGGGGACCCCTTCCCACCTGGCTGTCTCAAAAAGATAAACACTATGGGCGGATCACGAGATCAGGAGATCGAGACCATCCTAGCTAACCCGGTGAAACCCCATCTCTACTAAAAAATATGAAAAATTAGCCAGACGAGGTGGGCGCCTGCAGTCCCAGCTACTCCAGAGGCTGAGGCAGGAGAATGGCGTAAACCCGGGAGGTGGAGCTTGCAGTGAGCTGAAATCCGGCCACTGCACTCCAGCCTGGGCAACCCAGCGAGACTTCGTCTCAATAAAAAAAAAAAAAAAAAGATAAACACTAAATTCCTGTAAGGGTTGAGAGCAGAAAGGGAGGAGAAGCTAAAGGGCTTCACTGACAGTGTTTCATTGCTTAAGTTGGGTGATAGGGTGCATCCTGTATTATTTTTTATACTTCTTTGGGTGTCTGAATTATTTGATAATTTTTTAAAGCTACAAGACAGTGTGATTAGTGCTATTAGGAGGACAGTGCTAAGGTGGCATTTGACAGAAGCACCCAGGCTTTTGTCTGGGAAGGCTTCCAGGAGGACTGTCATTTAAGTTGAGCCCTGAGAGCTGTTAGCCAGGAGAAAGCAGGAAGAGTGTTCTCAGGAGAAGGAGCAGCCTTTCCAACAGCCCAGAGAAAGTGTCACTTTGTGAAGGAACTGAAAGAAATCTGGGGCGACTAGAGCAGGGTTCTGTAAGGGGAGAGGGGAGACAGGAGGTGAACTAGACAGCAGAGTTGAGTATAGGCTTCTTCCTCAGTAGAAGCTGTTGGTGAGTTTGAAGGTGAATAACTCAGGAAAGTAATGGTCATGAGCTATCTCACAAACTCAAGTTCAGTCAAATTATTTTTCTCAAAGAAAGCCCCTATGCCAGAATGTCAGGACATTCAGGTATTCCCTCTTTCCTCTTTGCCCCCTGCCCCATGGCTCGAAATCCCAGGAGCTGAAGAATGCTGGCATTGCAGCGGTCTGGCCAGGCCATGGCCAACTAGTCATCTTCTGCCTAACACACAGCAGCGGCCCTCTCTGGCCTAGCCCTGGCTTAAACCACAGGAGTCACTGGGTGAATGTGCCCTTCTCTTTTTGCTTGGAGGACACCTTTTTGACACCCTCCCTGTCCAGGAGAGTCTGGAGTTCCTGTCTTAGGGCTGTGCATAGCTGTTCCTGTACCTGGAAGACCCTTCCTTACCCAGACACCTCATGGCTCCTCCCTCACTTCATTCAGCTCTCAGGCCAATTGCTGCCTCATTTAAGGAGGCCTTCCACAAAAACCCTATCTAAAGCTAAAACGTGCAGGAGCCTCAGATCTTGCTTTTCTTCATTACACTAATCTCTACCTGACATTACGTGCATTTGTCTGCCCCACTTGCACTACAATGTAAGCTCCATGAAAGCAAGGAGTTTGTCCTACGGGCAAGAACCTTCTCCTTTGACTGTAATACATTAACAAACAGCTCCAGAACCTCATGGCTTACCCCAACAACAATCCCTTTCTTGTTCGCACTGATGCCCAATGCTTCATCACAGCAGAAGCGGCAGTGGGAGGACAACGTAGCAAATCCTATACTAGCTCTTCAAGCACCTACCTAGAAGAGATGTCTATGACTTCCTTCACATTTCTCTGGCCAGATCAAGTCATATGGCCCCATGTGATCAACAGATTCATCACCTATTCAACTCTCAGCAACTAGAAAAAGAGGGAACTTCCTCAGTATGATAAAGGCATCTCCAAAAAACAGCTAACCTGACACTTGCAAAGATCGAATGCTTCCCCCTGTGGATCAAGAACAAGGCAAGGATACACAGTAAGGCAAAGAAATAAAAAGCAAACAAACTGGCTCTATTCAAAGATGGCCTGATTGTACATGTGGAATATCTCAAGTAATCTACCCCTCAAAAAGCTACTAGAAATCATGAGTTTGGCAAGGTCACAGAATTCAAAGTCAGTATACAAAAATCAATTGTATTTTTATTTTCTGGACATAAACAACTGGATGTTGACACTGAAAAAACTGGAATTTACAATTGAATTTTTTTTCTTTTACAATGGAATGGGTTTTTTGGTTTTTTTTTTTTTTTTGAGACAGAGTTTTCCTCTTGTTGCCCAGGCTGGAGTGCAATGGGACGATCTCAGCTCACTGCAACCTCTGCCTCCTGGGTTCAAACGATTCTCCTGCCTCAGACTCCCGAGTACCTGGGACTACAGGTGTGTGCCACTACACCCGGCTAATTTTTTTGTATTTTTAGTAGAGATGGGGTTTCACTATTTTGGCCAGCCTACCCTCGAACTCCTGACCTCATGATCTGCCTGCCTCAGCCTCCCAAAGTGAGAATTTTTTTAATTTAACAAAACAGGTACAAGACCAGAACACCGAAAACTACAAAAAATTAAAGAAGACCTAAAAAGTTGGAGAGATATACTGTGTTCATAGATTGGAAGAATCATTACTGTTAAGATGCCAGTTCTCCCCAGATTGATCTGTAAGTTCAATACAATCCCAGTCAAAATTCCAGGAGTTTTGTTGTTGTTGTTGTTGTTGTTAAAATTGACAAGTTGATTCTAAAAATGTATGTGGAAATACAAAGGACCTAAAATAGCCAAAACAGTTGTGAAAAATAACAAAGTTGCAGGTCTTACAACTACCTGATGTTAAGATTTACTAAAAAGGGATAGGTGCCGGGAGCGGTGGCTCACGCCTCTAATCTCAGCACTTTGGGAGGCTGAGGCAGGCAGATCACTAGGTCAGGAATTCGAGACCAGCCTGACCAACATAGTAAAACCCCATCTCTACTAAAAATACAAAAATTAGCCGGGCATGGTGGCACATGCCTGTGATCCCAGCTACTCAGGAGGCTGAGGCAGGAGAATCACTTGAACCCAGGAGGCAGAGGTTGCAGTGAGCCGAGATCACGCCACTACACTCCAACCTAGGCGACACGGCAAGACTCTATCTCAAAAAAAAAAAGAGAGACAGGATAGAGAGCCTAGAAATAAACACACACACTGGTTTTTCACCAAGCTGACAAAGGAATTTAATGAAGGAAAGGATAATCTTGTCAATAAATAATGCTGGAAAAATTGGATATCTACATGGAAAGAAACCTTGATTCTAACCACTACTTGGGAGGCTGAGGTGGAAAGATCGCTTGAGCCTAGGAAGTTGAGGCTGCAGTGAGCTACTACACTCAATTGTGCCACTACGCTCAAGCCTGGGCAATAGAGAGAGGCCCTCAAAAAACAAAACAAAACAAAAAAACCCTACATGGAGATACTAATCACACCCTAAAACAGCTAAAATTAAATGGGCTGAAATAAATAACAAGTGTTGGCAAAGATATGGATCAAATAGAACTCATACATCACTAGTGGGAAAATAAAATGGTACAACTACTTTGGTAAACAGTTGGAAGTATATATTAAACATATACTGACATATGACCATCTGACCAATCAGGTATTTGCTCAAGACAAATGAAAACATGTCTACACAAAGACTTATATTTTAAGGTTAACAGCAGTTTTATTCATAATATCCCAAAACTGGAAACAATGCAACATCCATCAGCAGATAAATGAAGAGTGTGGTACAGACATACAATGGAATAACTATGCACCAATAGATATAACCTACTGATACATGCAACAACGTAGATGAACCTCAAAAACATTACACTGAACAAAAGCAGATAGACACAAAAAATATATACTACACTACACTACTATATTCTACAGTTTGAGTATTTGTGTCCCTCCAAAATTTATGTTGAAACTTAATCTCCAATGCAATAGTATTAAGAGATGGGGCCTTTGGAGGTGATTAAGTCATGAGAGCTCTTCCCTGCTGAATGAGCTTAAGCCCTTTATGAGCGGGGCTGCACACAGCATTTGCTCTCATTTTTTTTTTTTTTTTTTTTTTTGCCTATCTGCCCCTTCTACCATGTGAGGACAGTGTTCAAAGCACCATCTTCAAAGAAGAAACTGGGCCCTCAGACACCAAACCTGCTAGTGCCTTGATCATAAACTTTTCAGCATCCAGAACTGTGAGAAATAAATTCCTATAATTTATATAAATTACCCAGTCTCAGGTATTTTGTTATAGCACCACAAATAGACTTAGACACTGTATGATTCCATTACTGGAAATCTAGAAAAGAAATTCTAATCTTTCCAAAAAGATAGGAAATAGTCATTGCTTGGAGCCAGCAGAGAAGAAAGGATTGATTGGGATGGGACACATAGGAAATTGCCGGTGTGATAGAAATGCTTTGTCTCTTTATCTATGGGGATAGTGATACAAGTACATAAATGTATCAAAACTCATTGAAATATACACTTAAAACTGTTGCATTTTATTATATGAAATAATGAATCAATAAGTTGAGTTTTTAAAAACTCAGTATTTCTTCCTGGAGTCAAGAATGACTCTGAGGTTTCTGGCTTGGGAAATCAGATGCATGCTGTGCCACCTACAGATAAGGAAACACAGAAGAAGATTTTGAAGAAAGAAAAGTTATCTGGGAAATCTTGAGCTTGAGTTGTTCTTTAGAAAAATGTTCATTCAAATCTCTTCTCCATTTATTAATTGGACTGTTTGGTTTTTGTGTTGAATTACAGGAGTTCTACATGTACACTGGATATCAATTCCTTATTAGATATATGACCTGCAAATAAAATAAATGTAAAAGTCAGGAGAAATAGGAATTTGGGAAAAATGAGCACATATATGGCAAGTGAAGTCATGGCAGAGAATGAGATCATCCAGGTAATGTGTGTAAGGCTGAGAACAGAACCTTCAGGAGCACCAGGGATGGACAGAGACTGAGAAGAAGCCAGAGTGACAGGAGGAAAACTAGGAGAGTATGATGTCACAGAAGCCAAGGCTTGTATATTACAAGGAGGAAACAACAAAAGATTATCTATCCACTCAACTAAGCTACCCAGTCCTTTGTAACCCAGTGATAGCAGTTTCAGGGCAGTGGTAGTAGCAAAGGTCCAACCAACTGCCTTAGTTAGAGGGGTCAAGGGAATCTAAAGAAGTTTAGGCATTTCAACAAATACTGCTGGGATACTTGGACAGCCAAATGCAAAAGAATGATGTTTGACAGTGACTTTACATCATATACAAAAATTAAGTCAAGGATCTTAATGGCTCAAAGACCTTAATGTAATAGCAAAACCTATAAAATTCTTAGAAGAAAACATAGGGGTAAATCTTCACGACCTTGGATTTGGCAGCAGATTCTTAGATGCAACACCAAAAGCATGAGCAACCAAAGAAAAATGTAGATACATCTGACTTCATAAAAATTAAAAACTTTGTGTATTAAAAGACACTACCAAGAAAGCGAAGACAACCCACCTGGGAGAAATTATCTGCAAATCATATATCTGATAAGGGACTAGTATAAGGAATACAAAAAGAACTCCTACAACTCAACAACAAAAAAAAACCCTGATTTTTTAAATGGACAAATTAAAAAATTGGCAAATAATCTAAATAGACATTTCTCCCAGGAAGATTATACAAATAGCCAATAAGCATATGAAAAGGTACAACATCATTAGTCATCAGGAAAGTGCACATCAAAACCACAGTGAATCCTGTGGTCATGTACTGGAAGACTTAATAGTGGTAAGACATCAATATTACCCAAAGCACTCTACAGATTCAATGTCGTATTTATCGGACTCCTAATGGCAGAATTCCAGAAATAGAAAAATCCATCTAAAATGCATATGGAATCACAAGGGACTCAACAGCCAAAATAATCTTGAAAAAGAAAAAGTTGGAGGTCTCACACTTCTGAATTTCAAAAAATACTACAAGACTATAGTAATCAAAAAACCGTAAGCCTGGCACTCAACTCCTCCACAACAAAGGACCAAAAAAGCAAGTAGGTAACCACGTGTCAGGTAGAACACCAAAGACAGAACACTATTCAACAGGGAAGTGACAGGGAGCCTCTGAGGCACAAAAGGAGCAGTAAATAAAGCAGCCAGTGTGTCTTGGATTGGCTCAGAGACAGGAGAGACATCCCATTTCTGGGAAAAGAAAAGTCAAAGAACCGCAGTGGTCCACATTCCCAGCACAGATGCTGGCACCCACAGGGGATGCCGTCAGCCTTCACAGGCCCTGAGCCCAGTATACGGAGCTGCCTGGAATCCATGCAAATACATTGTTTCAGAAAGGGAATTCCATTGGATCCTACTCACACCCCAAGAAACATGCTGCTGTGGCACAGCACCATTTTAACAGCCTAGCCCCCACCAGATTATATCCTGCCTTGGGGTCCAATAAGCCCCTGCAGTCTACATCCCTGGGGCCCCCAAGAACATCTTCCCACATCCATCCAGAAGGTTGCAGTATCACAATCACCCAGCAGTGCAGTCAGGTCCCCAGTACTCTGACCCATGAAGTGTCTTATATCCCAGGGAACAGGCAGTGTAGCGCACACCAGGGAGGCTGTCCCCGGGAAAAAGGGAGCTGAAGCTCCCAGAACCTGGGAGCCATCTTCCCAACACCAATGCCACCAACAGAACCTTGCCCCTCTCAGCAGGGCAACAGCACGCCTGTGTGTACCTGCAGGAGGCCTGAGGACCAGTGTGTCCATATGTGCCATCCAAGAACCTAAAGAGAGGCCTGCTCCACCCACTGTCACCAGTGTTCTCAGGTGCCATCTTTCCCTCATGCCACTACTGGTGCCTATATGCTCTCTAGGGCGGCCTGAGCACTGGCCCACCCCATCCAACAGCACTGGTGCCCATGCACACAATCCCAAGGCCTGAACAGGCCCGCCCCACCTACTACCACCAGTGCCTACCGAAGTGCATCACCTAAGGGGCTAGAAACTGGCCCATTCATCCTGCCACAGCTACTGCCAACAGCTGTGATTGCCACCTGAGGGTCCAGTGTTTAGCCCACTGCTGCTACTGCCACTGCCAGCACCAAAAATACTGCCTCGGGGCTTGAGGACCAGCCCACCTGGGCCCCCCCACTACCAGCACTTACGCCAGCTAGGGTCCTGAGGTCTAGCATGCCCAGCCCATCGCCAACACAGCTAAAGCCTGCCCATGCCACCAAAAGGCCCAGGGACTGGCCCCTCTGGCATCCCTGTCCCCAGAAAAGCCTCACAACAGCCTCAACTAACAATGGCAGCTTAAGCCACTGAGGACTCACAGACACCAGTGACATTGGTTACAGCTGAAGAAATCATTGAGCCTATACAACTGTGTTCACCAAAATCAAAGCCAAAACATCCTAATCACAACCAAAACTACAGATACGCCTACAAAAAAGTCTTTCCTTATGAAAGCCAATCCATAAAATTGGAAGAAGCAACTATTCCACTAGCTGAATAGATAATCAACATAAGGACACAAGAAACATGAAAAAGCAAGGAAACTTGATGCTGCCAAAGAGACACAATTCTCCAGTAACAGATTCAAAAGAAAAGGAAATCTATAAAAATGCCAGAAAAGGAATTCAAAATAATGATCTTAGGGAAACTCAGCAAGTTGCAAGAAAACACAGATAATACAAAGAAATTAGGAAAACAATTCATGATCTGAATAAGACATTCAACAGAGATAGATAAAGAAAAATAACCAAACAAATCCTGGAACTGAAAAATTCAATGAATAAAATTTAAAAATGCAACTGAGAGCTTCAAAAATACACTAGATGAAGCAAAACAAAGATTTTCTGAACTTGAAGACAGGTCTTTTGAAATAACCCAGTCAGACCAAACAAATATTTAAATTCTGAGTGTTTCAGGAAAGAGAAGGGAAAAGGCATAGAAAACCTATTTAGCAAATAATAGTCAAACATTTCTTAAGTCTTGCAAGAGATACAGACATCCAGATACAGGATGTTCAGTAATCCCAAAAAAGATTCAAACCAAAAAGGTCTTCTGCAAGGCACATTACAATCAAATTGTCAAGTCAAAGACAGAATTCTAAAAACAGCAAAAGGGAAGCATCAAGTCACTTATAAGAGACTTTCCTATTAAAAAAAAAAAAACAAAAAAAAACAAAAAAACAAAACCTTACAGGTCAGGGAAGAATGGAATAATATATATTACAGTGCTGAAATAAATTTTAAAAACTGCCAGCCAAGAATATTAAACTAAGTAAAGCTATCCTTCAAAATTGAAGGACAGATAAAGTCCTTCCCAGACAAGTAAAAACTGAGGGAAGGAGGACCCCAGGCCCTCAGAGGAGCCTCATAGTGCGGCATTATACAGAGCCTCTGAGGGAGCACCATCAAGTCACCTCTGGCATCCCAGGACAACTAGCAATTGCACCCAAGGCAGGAGGAGCAACAGGAGGGCTGCCAAGGTCCAGTTGGAGGCTCAGGTCATGGCCACCCAGGAAATGGAACATGGAGAAAAGGATCCAGAAACTGATGAGCACAGGGAAAGAAAACCTTTTGCAGAAACAGATGAGGAAGACAAGGGGGTTGATATAGAGAAGCTACAACTAATTGCAGCTGCCATTAAACAGGGTCTTGCTGCAAAAATAAAAAGGCTTCAAAAGTATACAAAAGCTTGCATCAAAACCAAGAACATAACTGAATGATATTTTGAAAATATAAAAGGCAGAAATGTAATTATAGATATTCTATGCAGTTGCTGACTTTGCTTCAAGAATACAACACAGACATGTAGAAGACTGAGGAGAGAAGGAAAACTAAAATATTTCAAGAGCAACAAAAGAGGTGGCAACAAGTTAGCATTGTTAGGAGAGAGCAAATGAAAGAGATTAAGCTGCTATATGAGCAACTCATGAAGAGTATCATGAAAGAACTCTTTCAGTGAAGAAAGTCAAATTGCCAAGCTCCAAGATAAAATTGTGTCAGAGACACTGCAGCAAGAGTTGGCACTTATTCGTAACTTGAGCTACACTAAACCACATGACAGTGTTTTGATATTCCTGTATAAATCAGTATATTTCTTCTATCATTAGTCTGTTAAATGCCAGACCTCATTTCTGTGATCTGTTGAATGAATCCTAGATAGTTTGGTGAGAAAGCAGCAATTGCACAGTTATATACACAGTCAGTTAAATTTTAACATTAATGATAATTTAGTTTAAAAAAAAAAAAACTAGCCGGGTGCGGTGGCTCACACCTGTAATCCCAGCACTTTGGGAGGCTGAGGTGGGCAGATCACAAGGTCCGAGGTGGGTGGATCATGAGATCAGGAGCTCGAGACCATCCGGGGAACACAGTGAAACCCCGTCTCTACTAAAGATACAAAAAATTAGCCATCCAAGCTGCATAGCAAGGGTCATATGTAATCCTGGGTCATGAACCTGTCACAGTTTGATTAGCTGCTTTTGTTCTGCCTCTGTATCTTTGCTTCGCGCCACTGTAAGCTTGTTTCAAGCTAGCCCAACCCCTTTTAGAAGTGGGTATAAAAGTCAAGTGCTGTCTTTGTTCTGGGCCCAGTTTTTGCATGTTAATCAGCTGGGTCTGAGTGCACTCGATAAAAATCCTCCTGTCTCACCCCCATGGTCTCTCTAGTCCTCCTTCATTCCCACCATAATACCACCCTGAACGTGCCCAATCTCATCTGATCTTCAAATAGACTGGATGGTATCTACCATCACGAAAACACACAAAGTCTTAAAACTCACTAGTAGAGCAGAAACACAAATGAGAAAAAGGAATCAAACATTATGAGTATTAAAAAAAAACCCACCAAATTGTAAACAATACAAAAGAAGATAGGTGAAATGCCGTCTCTACTAAAAATACAAAAATTAGCTGGGTGTGGTGGTGGGCACCTGTAATCCCAGCTACTTGGGAGGCTCAGGCAGGAGAATCGCTTGAACTTGGGAGGTGGAGGCTGCAGTGAGCCGAGATCCCGCTACTGCACTCCAGCCTGAAGACAGAGCAAGACTCTGTCTCAAAAGAAAAAAAGAAAAAAAAAAAAGATAGGAAAAATATATATATAAGACAATCAGAAAACAATTAAAAGCACAGGATTAAGTCCTCACCTATCAATAAAAACCTTGAATGTAAATAATTTAAATTCTCCAATTAAAATACATAGACTGGCTGAATGGATTTTAAAAAAACAAGATTCAACTATATGTTACCCATAACAAACTCATTTCACATGTAAAAACACATATAGACTGAAAGTGAACAGACGGAAAAAAATATTCCATGCAAATTGAAAACAAAAATGTGCAGGAATAGCAATACTTATACAAAATAGACTAAGTAAGAAAACATAAAAAGGGACAAAGAAGATCATTACATAATGATAAAAGGATCAATACAGCAAAAGGATGCGACAATTTTAAATGTATATGCACCCAATACCAAAGCACTCACATATATAAACAAACACTATTAGAGCTAAAGAGAGAGGCAGATCCTAATACAAAAAAAAGCTGGGGATTTTAATGCCTCACTTTCAGTATTGGGCAGATCATCTTGACAGAAACATCAGACTTAATCTGCATTATAGACCAAATGGACCTAACAGACATTTACAGAACCTTTCTTCCAACAGCTGAATATACATTCTTCTCATCAGCACATGGACCATTCTCCAGCATAGACCATGTTAGACCACAAAACAAGTCTCAATAAATTTTTAAAAATCTAAATCATATCAAGTACCTTCTCAGACCACAATGGAAGAAAAGTAGAAATCAATAACGAGAAACTTTGGAAACTACAAATCCATGGAAATCTAACAACTGGCCAGGTATAGTGGCTCACGCCTGTAATCCCAACACTTTGGGAGGCCAAGGAAGTTAGGAGTTCGGGACCAGCCTGGCCAACATGGCAAAACCCTGTCTCTACTAAAAATACAAAAATTAGCCAGGCATGGTGGTGTGCCTATAATCCCAGCTACTCAGGAAGCTGAAGTGGGAGAACTGCTTGAACCTGGAAGGCAGAGGCGGCAGTGAGCCGAGATCACACCACTGCATGCCAGCCTCAGCAACAAGAGCGAGACCCCATCTCAAAAAAAAAAAAAAAAAACTAACAACCAATGTGGAACACATGCAAATGTACATGTGGATGTGGACAAAGAACCACATGGCTAAGCCATAAAAAAAAAACAATAAAACACGAAACTCAGGCAAAAAACTCCACCATCAGAGTAGAATGCTATAACTTCCATTCAGCCCTTCAATCCCACCTTCATTGGCTGGACTGGTTTTCACAGCATCTCTCTTGCCTGAGACATCACAGCATCTCTAAGTGTATCCAAGACCTTCTGGTAGGTCTCCAGAACGTCCTGGGCAGTGGGTCTTTCTGAGGGAGTCTGGCTCTTGCATGCTTTGTGAATATCAAACAAATGGAATCGGACCATATCACTCCCTTCAATGTGCCCCAGAAGGAAACTGGAGATGTCTGGGATCTTCCAAATGTCAATCTTCTCGTCATATGAGGGCATGAGATCATCACGGAAAGGCATGTCCTCTCCGTAGGGCCACAGTTGCTCTGGAGCCACAAAATCCCCATGCAGCTCCCTGTGGCCGCACTTCACCAGTGTCCCAGAGCTGTGGTTCACCAGGGGTAAGGCATCCAAGTCATTTGCCAAAATGCTGAAGTTGCTTGTCAGCAGATACTGGGACAGTGTCTTGGGCAGGTCATTGGAGTCACACATGACCCGTGTGCCCATGGGGCTGTGGTGCAGGTAATTAATGATGCTCACATAGTCCATGGCCAGCTGCAGCCTGTGCTGCCACGTGTTCACATTTTGGTACTTTGAAAGGTTTAGTGTTTCTTCCAGGTTACTCAAGGAACCTAGAGGGTGATATTCAGTAAGAATAGTGTTGTCATCCTCACAATAGCCAAGCAGCGTGACAACATGTGCGCCTTGTAGAGATTTCAGCATCTGCAGTCCATGGAGGAAATCATCTTTCATCTCCAGGCTGGTAAGCCGTGAGAGAGCAACTTTGTGCTCCTTCCACTCAGACAGAAAGACCTGCAACAAAGCCACAGAGAACATCAGGCCTGAACTCTCACCTAATTTAGTGACCAAAGAACAACGAATATCTTTTAAGTGGCAGGTGTTCTGCAGAAGATACAGAAATTAACAAGGTGCAGACCCCATCGCAGAGTTGCTCTCCGTCTAGTGATGAAGATAGACTGAAGAGCAAACACAGCATTCAGCAAGGCAAGTGCCACATTAGTGTGTGGAACCTCAGGGCAGGAAGCGATTGCCTCTGGGCAGGAAGCGATTGCCTCTGGGCAGGACACTGACAGCTGCTGCAGAGGGTGCTGGAAAGCTTCTGGAAGCTGGTCTCATAGAAGGAGGGGGACTTCCAGATTCTATGTGGGGCAGGGGAGTGCTGGCTCAGGAGGAAAGACTCCATATAATTTCATGGCAGGGAGGAGTGGCAAAGTAGACTGCCAGTTCCAATGGACCACCGCACAGTGGGTGGGGAAGAAGAGAAGGCAGGGGAGTGGACTGGAAAAGTGGGTAAGTGTGGAGACCCTGAAAAGCCTACATGACGGCGTGAAGCCCTGCCCATCACATGTAACAATGTTACTCATTAATTTTAAAAGGTGGCACAGTAAATCATAAATAGGAATATTTATATGTAAGGAAAACATTTTTACACGTTCTGTGGTTTGGTGTTACTTCAGCTGTAAAGGCAGGAGCTGAAATGCTACACAAACACGAGACCTTCTCATAGAGTCCACAGCAAACAGAAGAGCAAGTGCACATTTCTGCCTTGGATTTCCACCTTTCATTTGCTTGCAGGAAACACGGTAATTAAAGAAAGAACCTCTGATCTTTTGCTTAAATCCCAAGAGAAGGCAGAAGATTACAAAAGAGAAAGCAGGTTCAGGACTCAGGAGATTCCTGCCCCAGGCTCGTTCTACAAGCAGTGTGTCATGTCATCGTTCAAATAAAGGTTATGGTTTCCAAAGCAGTTTTGATGCATTATTTATCAAGAGACTCTAACATCTAAATCTAAAATCTAAGGCAATAATCAGAAATAGGTAAGAAGTTCCAGGAATAAAAATTTGGCATTATTTATAAAAGCATAAACTGAAACTTATCAAAAGATGGGAGCAGTATGATCAACATAGTAAGAACCCATCTCTACAAAACATTTTTTAGAAACTAGCAGGGTAGGCCGGGCGTGGTGGCTCACACTTGTAATCCCAACACTTTGGGAGGTCAAGGCAGGTGGATCACCTGAGGTTAGGAGTTCAAGACCAGCCTGACCAACATGGAGAAACCCCATCTCTACTAAAAATACAAAATTAGCCAGGCGTAGTGGTGCATGCCTGTAATCCCAGTGACCTGGGAGGCTGAAGCAGGAGAATCACTTGAACGCAGGAGGCAGAGGTTGCCGTGAGCCAAGATCACGCCACTGTGCTCTAGCTTGGGCAACAAGAATGAAACTCTGTCTCAAAAAAAAAAAAAAAAAGAAGAAGAAATTAAGAAACTAGCAGGGCGTAATGGAGCGTACGCATAGCCCCGGCTACTCAGGGGAGGCTGAGGTAGGAGGATCATTCGAGTCAAGGTGTTTGATCACATCACTGCACAGCTGGGTGACATAGTGAAAACTTATCTCAAAAAAAAAAAAACTATATATATATATAATATGGTCACCAAAATGTATATATTTATAGAGTTATAACAGATAAAAGTAATGGTGGGCTGGGTGTGGTGGCTCACACCTATAATCCCAGCACTTTGGGAGGCCAAGGCAGGCAGATCACCTGAGGTCAAGAATTGGAGACCAGCCTAGCCAACATGGCGAAACTCCACCTCTACTAAAAATACAAAATTAGCCGGGCATGGTGCTGCATGCCTGTAATCCCAGCTACTCAGGAGGCTGAGGCAGAAGAGTAGCTTGAACCCAGGAGGTGGAGGTTGTGGAGACCCAAGATCGCACCATTGCACTCCAGCCTGGGCGAACAACAATGAAATTCCACCGTCTCAAAAAAAAAAAAAAAAAAAAGCAATGTTACAAATGAGAAATATATAAAACCGTTTGTATAATACGTTTGTATAATATTGTTCCAACTGCATAAAATGAGACAAATTTAAATTACAGATTTAATTTAAACAAATTTAAATTAAATTTTATGGAAATCAAAGGAAATATGCTAATGCCTTAGCTGTCTTTATGTGGTAAGATTCTGGGTGATTTTTTTTCCTTCATATCTTTTGGTATTTTCCAAGATGAATATACATTACTTTTACAACTTAAATTTTTTAACTCAAAAATATATAAAATTTCAGAAAAATTGGCGTTGGGAATTTAAAAAAAAAAAAGAAAAAGAAATATTATATAAAATGGAGGTGGACCCAAGGACCATGAAGATCTTTTCTGGATCTAAGAAGGGAGGTTCATTATGGAAAAATGCAGATAACTTTGATTGGCTCATAACATTCAAACGAGAACTCTTTCAAGACTCTCTAATCCTCAAATTTGAGAAATTTCACTAAGGATAATAATTTCTATTAAAAAGTCATTTTTTGGCCAGACGTGGTGGCTCACACCTGTAATCCCAGCACTTTGGGAGGCCAAGGCAAGTGGATCACAAGGTCAGGAGATCGAGACCAGCCTGGCCACATGGTGAAACCCCATCTCTACTAAAAACACAAACAAATCAGCTGGGCGTGGTGGCACGCACCTACAGTCCCAGCTACTCGGGAGGCTGAGGCAGGAGAATCACTTGAACCCAGGAGGCAGAGGCTGCAGTGAGCCAAGATTGCGCCACTGCACTCCAGTCTGGATGACAGAGTGAGACTTCATCTCAGAAAAAAAAAAAAAAAAAAAAAAAGCTATTTTTCACTCTGGCTGCTAGATGCACTAAAAATTTTCTAAATTTTAAGGACTGGATAAGGCCACATTCTAAAAGTTCACGGTTTTTTAATTTTCATATTGAACACATGCTCTCCAAAGATTTGCATCCCACTGAATCTGATAATTGGCTCTAATACAAACAACTGAGGTTTTATTCAGATCCATGGCTTCCTTACACCCACCAACACTGGCAATGGCTTTGGTTTTCTAGGTCCATTTTTCACCTAAAAACGATGCTGGCTTTTGGGAAGCTGCTGCTACACATTCAACAGTAAGTGGGGGGCCGGGCGCAGTGGCTCACGCTTGTAATTCCAGCACTTTGGGAGGCCAAGGTGGGTGGATCACGAGGTCAGGAGATCGAGACCATCCTGACTAACACGGTGAAACCCCGTCTCCACTAAAAATACAAAAATTAGCCAGGCATGGTGGCGGGCACCTGTAGTCCCAGCCACTCGGGAGGCTGAGGCAGGAGAATGGCGTGAACCCGGGAGGCGGAGCTTGCAGTGACCTGAGATTGCACCACTGCACTCCAGCCTGGGCAACAGAGCAAGACTCTGTCTCAAAAAAAAAAAAAAAAAGTAATAAGTCGGGGAGGCTCAGCCACAGGCCCCAGGACTCCTGAGCCCTCATTTATGTCTAATTCATTTTTGTTTCAGATACATGAAGATTATTAAATATTATTATGAAATACCATTAGTCTTTGAGATCACACACAAATATTTGAATCCTCTAATATAAAAAATTTGCTAGTCATGGACTGTTTAAGAATCATTTCTCACAACCTCTAATTTAGTTGCTTTTAATCATTTTCTCAAAGACTTTTATTTGGAAAGAATAGTTAATATACTTTACCTTTTTTATTATAAAATTAATCATGAACACTTTTCTTGGTAAAAACTCAAATACAGAGGATAGGGAGGATGTCTCTCTGCCCCCAGTTTTACTTCCCAACCCAAAAGAAACCTGGTGACTGGCTGTTATCCTCCCGTAAGTTTTTCTATACCTTTATATGTATTAGTGTACACCTGTAAAACAGCATTTGGGTTTGCTGTTATACTAATGGTGTTATAATATACATACATCGCAGCTTAATTTTTTCATTTAACTGCGCCTCAGAAATCCTTTCCATATATACATGTAGATCTAGGCCATTCTGTTTAAAGCTGAGTAATGTTTCATAGTATGGGCATAATACCTATGCTAGTGTATTTCCAGTAAGGTTTTACAGATAATATTTCCTTTTTTCTTTAAAAGTAAAGTATAATATAATAAAAATACAAAGAATTTGGAATAGATGCTGTCAAAATGGATTGGATTCCTTCTTAGATTATTATGTAGCTATAATTTTGCATAGGCCTTTAATAAGATCTTATATGATCTATTTCTAAAGACCTGGACATTTAAGTTAGTCCCTTTTCTAATGACAATGCTACAGTGTCCAGCCTTATATTTACATGTCTATGCATATGTGCAAATATTTTATAAGCTAGGTAAGTAGACAGATTACCAAATGAGAATATCTATTGCTATCATTACCCTCCAAAGCCTGTGCCAGCATGTACTTTCACCAGCACTGCATGAGAGAATCTTAAGAATACACCCTTAGTCACACCAGATATTACCACTGTGTAATTTGTGCCAATCAATGGATGAAAAATACCTTACTGTTCTAATTTGTATTTCCCTGATTACTAAGGAGGCTAGACATCTGTCATGTTTTTAGGCATTTCTGTTTTTCTGCTGTCAAAAGTCTGTTTACTGTCCTTTATCCAATTTTCTATAGGTTGTCTGCCTTGTGCTTATTAATATTACTGGGAGCTCTTTATATACACTTGACCCTTGAACAACAGGGGTTTGAAATGTGCAGTTCCACTTACATACAAATTTTCTTCTGCCTTTACCACCCCTTGGATACCAAGACCAACCTCTCCCTTTCCTCCTCCTCCTCCTTGGACTACTCACTGTGAAAAAAAGCATGGATAAAGACCTTCGTGATGGATGATGGATCCACTTCCACTTAATGAACAGTAAATGTATTTAATGAACAGTAAATGTATTTTTTCTTATGATTTTTCTTAATAACATTTCTCTTACTTTAAGAATACAGTATATAATATATAAAGTACAGTTAACCAACTATTTATGGTAGGCT